GGGGGGGGAAACAAGAAAAGAAAGGGGTGAAACTAGAAGCAAAATTGTATTAATTGACTTGTTTTGGTACATTCGCCCAATTATCTGTGTTTGTATTAGGTGATCTAATCTGTTTGAGTCTCTGGTTTGAATCTTCCAATGAGTTTAACTTGTGCTGGTTGTGGAGTTTCTCTGAGTTACCTCCCTCTTTGTGAGTGACCTGGAAGTGGGGGGGGGGGTGCTCTTGCGTGGTTTGCTCCTTTCTTTCTATGAAAAAACTATCGTCCTGATCTCTCCTCCTTTTTCTGTGTTTATGACTCTCTTGTAACACCTCTAATCGTCGGGCCGAGTATGACCTTATTGTGCTGCAAAAGCCGTAAAATAAACTAAAACAAAAAAACACACTATGTATCACAGAATAATGTGGAATCATTGGTTTGGACCCGACGTGCTGAAAAGGGAGGCAAGTCTGGGGGTTTTTTAATCCCCCCCCCCCCCTTTCGAAACTTACTGTACTAACATCCTCAGTCGCCACTATCCATCATTCACAATAGACTATTTTACTTTACTTTAAGAATTGGGATCGACTTTTTCTTTTTTACCCCGTTTTGTGTTTGCATTACGTGGGTTGAAATAGTGATGGTAAGCAATGCTGTTCGCAGTATGTGTTTGTTTGTATGTGTGTGTGTTTGTGTGTGTATGTCTGTGTGTGTGTGTGTGTGTGTGTGTGAGAGAGAGAGAGAGAGAGAGAGAGAGAGAGAGAGAGAGCGAGAGAGAGAATTAGAGAGAGAGAGATAGCATGTGCGCACGTATGCGTATGTTTGTTTGTGTATGTTGGTGTTTTATGTGTGTATATTGTGTGTTTGTTTGTGTGCAGGGAGTGAGTCGGTTCATACCAATACGGGTATTTAGTTGTTTCTCATCTAACAACCATACCACTATGCTTCTGAACGGCGAAGTCCCAAGCGTTATAAATATCACCGTAGACGACAGTGCCAATTGTCAGATTAAATTTGCTTTCAAAACGTTTTCTTTTTTTCTAAAAACATCTTTTTCTCTTTCTCTCCAGGTGTTTGGCGGAAGGTCATGGTCTTCCGGACTGCCCAGTTCGGCCTTGAGCGAGCCTGTAGGCTCCTTCAAACGAGCACCAAGCTTTGTGGTGGGCCCTCCTAACATTTTCAAGAAAGGAAAGAGTTCCGGAAGTGTGTCCAAGGTAAGGTTCGATGCGTAAGCGGGTGCTCCGATGTGGTTTGCTCCTTCTTCTCTATCGAATATTTATCTTCCGTATCTCCCTTTCTACTCTTTTATGTTCTTTTCTAACACCTTTTAGTTTCAGTACTTATTTCATGACCTCACTGTGTTGTTGCAACGTGCCGTAAAACTCTTTGTAAAATGAATTTCTGAGGGGAACCATATTCCGCGAAAGACGAGTAACTTTCGGGATAAAAATTAGGTTCTCCACCCCCCCCCCCTCCTCTATTCCATTTCGAACGTGCCTGGAGCAATGTGGAGATCCAGGTTCATTGTTGGGTTGTAGTTGTGTCTTTTGGGAATAAGGAACAACGTACATTTACCAATTTAGAACCTCATTCGGAAGAGGACCTGAAATTCTGTCCAAGTTCAGTAATACCCTTTTCAAACGAAATGCCGTATGTTTCTGTCTGTCTGTCTGTCTGTCTGTCTGTCTGTCTGTTTGTCTGTTTGTCTGTCTGTCTGTCTGTCTGTCTCTCTCTCTCTCTCTCTCTCTCTCTCTCTCTCTCTCTCCCTCTCTCTCTCTCTGTGTG